CTTTCCCTGAAGCATAGGATGAAGTCACCTGAATCCCAAGTGAGCCAATGACCAGCAGCGATTCCTCATCAATTTTCACAAAGTGCAGGTATATGATCAGGCCAATTAGTGTTATGAAGATAGCAGCAGAAAGCACCATACTGTTCTGTAACACAAGCCAAACAAAGACAGAGCTCTGGTATTACAATTAACTGAACACTGGTTTAGACAAAGGAATATTGCACAATAAATTATAATACTAAAACTAGAGTTACAAGGCTACTGTTATCAGGCAATTTTACTTAGGTGGGGTTCTGTTATTCACCTGACTGTCTGATACATGTGTGATGAGATTTAAAGCAGTCCTTACAGTATGGTCTGAAAGAGCTGAAATGGCCAAGCGCAAGAAAATTCTATTCCCTTGTAAATTTAGTGCAGAAATCTCAACCAAAACAAGACAGTTACACCAATGACAGCATATTGTCCAAACATCTATAGAGATGATGTCATTGACCCAGAAGTGTTGTGAAATGTCCGCTAGAACCGAGGGTGGAGTCTCAGAGGGGAAAGACAATCTTTTAAGAACAACCACTGACCTAGTGGGTTTCTTCTTACAAACTGCAAGCTAAATTTGTTCAAACCTCATCTGTCATCCTAACTTGACCACCACTCTAGAGAACATTTGCCTTCTCCTGTACATTGTCTGAGGACAAACATCTTTTGCATGCTGCGATCTTGGGACTGCTGTTAGATAAAATACAACTGATGAAACTACAGACTACAGCAAAGTCATCTGAAGACATGGTAATAAATCTTAAAGGTCCACAACCTACAATCTATTTCTGGGACATTTTAGAGAGCTCCAGGCCACACACACCCATGCATCAAAGTTGTAACTGACACTTCCCAAAGAGCTAGAACTGTATGACCCTACCACTCAAGCTGGGGCGGCACCACCCTGTGAAGTAAAGAAGTCACAAACACAAGCAAACAGAAAGGACAAAAAAACTTTTTCTATCATGGGAAAAAAACAAACAGTCGAGAATTACAGACACTGAAATCCACACAGAAACTTTCAGATCGGGTTTCCTGGCGGAAAGGAAGGAGCAGTCACTTATGTGCAAGCTGTATGGGCACATGTGAAACCAAGCCGGAAGGCAGTGGGTGGTAACCACTGGCTGAGGTGTCTGCTTTTGTAACAAACAGAACTTGAACAGGGCTTCCCTTCCAGCTGCAAGAACACGAACCATCTTTTTGTATCAGAAACCTGCCAACGGACTCACGTCACAATCTCTGTCTTCATTCCTGGGGAAAAGATTTCTGAAAAAAACTGAAGTGCAACAGTCATAGAGTTGGTCATAATGACCAGATTCCTTGGTCAGACAATTTACCTTAATCTGGAGATAACTGATCTGGCTGGAGAAGCTGGACCTTCCCTGCAGGTACAGGTCAAAATACAGCTAAACTAATATTTTTTTCATATAACTTTGACACCTGTCTTACCACCTCATCTGTGAGGCATGAGCACGTAGATCACATTGACATGGCAGTGCCCTCTGAGTCACTCAGCAAAATCCCTCCGGGGATCAGCAGGCACTCACTCACTTCATTCAGGACAGCCTTTATTCCAGATTCCTGCAGCTCATCCCCCTCGGTAAGCACCTGCCGTTCGGGCTCCCAGGAACGCACTGGGCATCGCCCAACACCCGTGGGCCCGCCTTCCCTACTCGGCAGGAGGCAAAACCAGCAGCGGCCTCCCAGAACCCACCGCGTCCCCGGGCCTGCGGGCCCGCAGACACCGGAGGGCAACCTCCCTCCTTTTCACCCCATCCCCTCGGGGACCCCCCGGGCAGCCCCCGGTACCTCGGTGAGCAGGAAGAGCCCG